AAATAGATAATTATATTTTTAACTAAAAGTTTATATATTTATACTGTATTTAAGTTTTTAAATTAAAGTTAAAAAAAATTAATACAATAGTAATAATAATTATGTTAAATTTAATTATTAATTACATATTATACAGTATAATTAACAATAGATTTATTATATATATATATGTATAAAATTATTAACATATATATAATAAATTTAAATTCAAATTATTATTAAAATTTTATTTAAAAAATTTTAACATTAATATATTTACTGTATAGTAGTATTAGTAGTAACTATACTAACAAACAAACAAAAAATACTAATTTATTATTTAAAAAAATGTAAGTTATTTTTTTTTGATAAACAAAAATCTAGATTTTTTTTTATTTTACAATAAATAAAATTAAATATTTATTATTATTGTCTACAGTATTAGTATTAATATTAATAATTATAATACTAATAATAAGATTTAAATGTCTGATATGGTATTAAATATATATATATATATATATATATATATATAGTATTAGTTATAAATTTAATATTAATAATTTGTTGTTGAATTTATTTATAAATTTATTATTTATTAGTTTTCTTGTTTTTAAAACGCTTATAAAACTTACAAAACAGTTATAATAATAATAATTATTATTATTATTATCATCAATAATACAGTATTATTGTTATTAAATCTATATAAAAAAAAATTGTTGTTGTTTTATATAAATAGTATTAAAGTTTATTTAATATATAAAAAAATAAAAAATAATTATTATTGTTAACAATATATGATTACTAAATAGATATTTATGAAAAAAATAAATAAATAATTTTATACTAATAGTGTATTTATTAATAAAATTATATAATAATAATAATAATAATACTAATCTGATTATACTATTTGCTTATATTAATTAAATTAAGTTGAATTAAAATTATTTTTATTATATGTATTGATTATTATTATTGATTAATATTTAATAATATTATTTAATATTTAGTAAACATTTAGTTTTATTTTAGTCAAACAGTTAGTATTATTTTGATTTGATTTGAATATAATATATCAGTAAATTATTTGTGTATTTAAATTAATTATTTAATATCTTAATAAATATATATATATATATGTTATATATAAATAATATTATTATATAACATATTATATATTAATATAATATTAATTTTGAAAAATTTGTTATATTATTAACCTAACCTAAAAAAATTATAATATAATTATAAAATATTTTTTTGTTTGTTTTAATTTATTTGTTGTTATTATTATTGTTTTAATAAATAAAAGGGCAAAACTATTATATAGTTTTTTTTATAAAAAAAAATATTATAACTTAGTTTTAATAATAATAATAATAAATGTAATTATTAGGTAATTTCATAGAAATTTTTGTTTTATATTTATTTTAGTTAATTATTTTTTGTTAAATCATATTTAAATTATTATGTAAATTATAATTTATGAAAAAAATAATATATTTTTGAAGGTTTACAATATTATATATATATATATTAATAATATATAAATTAAAGTAAATCACGCAAACAATTAATTTTTTTTTTTGGATAAAACTGTTAAAATAAATAATATATATATATTTTTATGATTTAAAAATTTTCATTTTAGAAATTAGTTTTTTTGTGAACAAAAAATAATATTGAAAATATTGATAATTTTTAAAAAACATTTAATTAATTTTTATTGATAATATTTTAGTTTAAGTTTAATAAATTTGTTAATTAAATTTAATTATTATTTACATATAAAAATATGTCAACAAATCATCAAGTAAGTTTATTTGTTTAAAAATTATTATTTTATTATTATTATTATTATTATTAATATTATTAATATTATTATTATTATTATTATTATTAATATTATTATTATTATTATTATTATTATTAATATTATTATTATTAATATTATTATTATTATTAATATTATTATTATTATTAATATTATTATTATTAATATTATTATTATTAATAATATTATTATTATTAATATTATTATTAATAATAATAATATTATTATTATTATTAATATTATAATTATTAATATTATTATTAGTTATCATCAAATGGTTTAATGATTTTAATGATTATATTAATAACTATTGGATGTCTATATAATAATAGACATGTTATGTGTTATACAACAGCAAACATATCGACGGCTATTGTTGTCGCCGACGATAATACTAATAATATTGTGACCACACTGTTGAACGACCCGAACAATAACAATACGGCCAACGAAACCATCAGTAAAGTACAGCTGTTGGTCATTGACGACGTCGAGGACAACGATGCGGACTACCAGTCCTATGATACTAATGGTAGTATCGGTGCTAACAATATGGACGGACCAGTAGTCCCGACACCACTACCACCACCACCACCACCAACAACAACATCACTGACCACTACTGGCCCGATATTGGTTTAGTTGTTGTGGCCAACGGTAGTAGTAGTAGTAGTAGTAGTT